GTTTTCTTGCGCCCAATAATGCATAATTTCATTTGATAAACACGTTTAGATTGAATGGTAATTTATAATCAGTCACAAGAACGTCGAATCTGAATCACTTGAAAAAACACGGGGGTGCTTAACTTTTTTCCAGGTGTATATATAGTGTGAAATGTAACACTCTGTGCCCGTGAAGTTTGGTAGTTTATTTTGACGTTTGTTAATTAATGAACTGATCCGAATCGAAAATCAGAACGTTTTTGTTTGTTTTTTCTCTAAGTGCATTTACGAAATCTGTTTCTTTAACACATGCGCACAAGCATGCGTATGTATCAATTGTTTAATAGTTGTACTTGAAACTGATTTTTACCAACAGCTGCCATATGTAGGACTGATAAAACATCCATTAAATAGATGATTACCAAAACGTAGCACAGCTAGTTATTGGTTGCTACTGATCATGTAGATTCCGTTTGAACATGTGTAGAATCAGATTGTATTGTACATTTATGTAAGTTTTCGTATTATGTACGTTAGAGCAAGCATTTCTTTTTACGGATTTTAATTTTGTAGTAGGTTCTCAGTTTGTTAGTTATCGGTTTCATCAGAATTTAAAATTCTGATATTTAACCACTAACTGTCTAAATAACCGTGAGGAACGCTAACTAGAAAACAACAACAACAACAAAAAAAAAAAAACGTGTTTCCTACTGCTGGATTAACAAAATTGAATATTTGTAAAGTTTGAATGAATTTTACATGGACCGGGTGTGGCTTAATGGTTCAGAGGATCCAATATACGGCCAGTTGCGTAAAATTTCGCTGCGTAGTGTGGGACGTGGTTGCGTTTCAAGGGTTACGGTCAAATTTCACTATTCGATAAGAGTAGCCAACCTGATGATAATGGCTGCCTTCCTTCCTGTTCAGAATTAGGGACAATTAATACAAAGTTATGTAGCTTTCAGTGAATATCCGATTCAAACAAACTAATCTTATATTGAGTATCAGCATTTTAGCCTCCGTTTGGGGCACCAACGTTATTCAAAAATGCTTGGTTAAATTTACCACTTTTATTACACACGTAACTTTCATATGACCTGTTCTACCCTCTAAACCTGCTGCAAAAAAATCTACATTTTGCAGACATTTCATTTCATGTAGTAGTAAATGAGAATTTTGAATGACCTTAGGCTTTATGACCGATATTTAGGTTTACGAAGTAATTTTACCGTAAAACTGTTGAGCGAGTTCAGTCAGTACATGATAACAGGAAACTGGATCAGTCAAAGTATTATAATCTAATAACATATATATATTACAGTTACATAAACGTTGATTTATGGCCTGATTTAAGCTTGCAGTAAAATTAAAACTTGTATAAACTTCGTATGATGTTTTAAGACGAAATGGAAAGTGCACGTAGCTGTAAAATGTTTAGATGCTGAAAACATTATATTCTTCAAAATAAAGTTAACTGATTAATGTAGTAAATAAGAATAAGGTTTTTACGTTTAGTTAAAGTCAACGTAAATGTTACTCTGTATATTTCAAGTTTAGTGTCCTTGGGAAATGTCATTACATTAAGTATATCATAATTTTGACGGGAATTGTGAGTGACTGGGGGTCAGCGGTCAGTTAACGGACTTACCAAACTATAATCCTGGGTTTGATTATCCGCTGTGGACGGAGCGCCTATAGCCATTGCGTAGCTTTGTGAAAAAAAAACAACAAAAAAACAAAACTTATGAATGGCTGAAGTAAAGATCAAACCATTCTTGTTTTCTGAGAAGCATCTGGTTTATAAAAGATTAAGCAACGAATAACAACATTTTTAATATTGATAATCGTTTGTTGAAAGGAACATATTGTTCGTACTTTTACTGCAAGAGAGTAGGAAAAAATAGCCAAAAGGTAATAGGAGAGCTTATAGTGTGGCGAGAATCAATTCGAAGCGACGCTATTTCAACTGGCTTGTGAACAAACTACCCGCTCAAAAGACCATTTATTGATCTTTCGTCATCTGCAAACGATAGGCTTAGAAGGTCGTATAAGTGTGAGAAGAAAGAATCCAAGTGTATATACTTCTACGTTTAAAAGGAAGCTCAAGCCTGTTGATGACACTGCTACTAATTCTGTGTGGAAAATATAGAATAAAGAACTGCTCAATGTGTGGCAATATCCGTTTTAATCTTTTTATTTTTGTCTGACATTGCTTTTTTATATGCTATTTGAAGTTCAAACTCCACATTACTTGTGTAATAATGCATTTCTCGGCCTTTGCACTTTGCTTATCTTTTATAACGTAGCAGTTTAGTAAACAATTTTTTTGTTATATTTGTTTTTTAATATAAAAATGATTCCTATAGGAGTTCACGCTTGCTTGCAAAAACAAATAAAAATTGGAACTATTTTTTTCTGTTATTATCACAAACGTTTTTTGTACAGAACTTGGAGTTGTTTTAAATTATAAGGTAGCAAGCAGTATTTGATTTACTGCTTGCATGTAGACGTGCAAATTTTATAAAACGATGTATAAATTTGTACTAGAGTTACGAAATTTTTAAAACCGGAATAGTGACATGACGAAATTGGTCTATAAATCATTAGTTTGGTATAAGAAGGTTTATGAATCATTATATTAGTTTAAATTTCTTCCTTTATTTTTTTGTAGGGCCTGACCAAAATAATAATCGATATAAACAGTGTTATAGATATCTGCTACTATCGGGAGTATAAATTCTGAATTATGTGGCAGTTTTTAATCACTTATAAAAACATAATACTCCACCAAATGTTTGGTGCAGTAACCCTTTGTAAACAGATTGACAAGCAGTCAAGATGTTTTCTACGTCTATAACTTGTGCAGAGTATTATTTATATATATATTTTGTACTTACTGCATGTTTCCAAACTAAGAACTCGTATCATAATACAATTGTTTGTTGCATAATTACTTTTTTGTTTTTCAAATCAGGTTTAAGTTTGTGAATTTCAGTTGAGATTAACCAAAGATGGTATGGCAAATCTTGCCACCTCAAATCTGCTATTTTTGTCTAGTAGGAATAATAATTATAGATCAAAAGTAAACAAAGTGTAACCTCCTGTTATAATCCATAACTTAGCTAATTAGTTTTCTTTAAAGACGTTGCCTCATATCACGCGTTATGAAGATGACATCCTGTCTTCTGTTACGTGTTTGGTCAGGAAACTTGGATATTGTCCAGTTGTTACGTAAATAATGTAGTCGTTGAAACTGTAAGCATTTTCCTTTTGTTCAAGTTTTAAATCATATGTATTTGTAGATGGTGCCATGTGTATAGTGTGTGTTTATATATATATATATATATATATGTGTGTGTGTGTGTGTGTGTGTGAAAAAGTAGGAAATATATATCATCTGTTGGTGCCTTATGTTAATCAAGGTATTTGGTTGACGGATGGGGTAATTTGTTTCCGAATTTTAGTTCAAAGCTACATTAAGGGCTACCTGCTCAAAGCCTTTCCTAATTTTGAACTGTTAAATATTTTAGTGGGTAGGCACTAGTCAACAGCATCTACAGCCAACTCTTGGGCTACTTTTGTGTGACTGAATAGTGGGATTTTATTGTCACTTTTATAGCTCGGCCACAGTCCCAAACTGCAAAGCGCAATTTTGCGGCAACCAGCAGCGAACCATGAATACTTGGATTCACAGTTCGGAGGACGCTAACAAATAGGCCATGCCTAACTCATAAGCGGCAGATGTCGTAACTGGTCCCCTTTCATCTGGTCAGCATTTCTAAATTAGGGTCCGTTATGCCTGGATCTTAGTATATTTGATCCGACCGTTTAGCCCATGTGCCTTTCAGGTTGGAAGTACTGAATTATTTTACAAAATTTTGAAATATTCACGTCATTGGACCTATTTGATGTGAAGATTGTGGAAAATACCGATTGTATTATGTAATATGAAACGTGTTAAAATAATTTTCCACTGTGAATCAATAATACTAAATTGTGAAATGAGGAATGTCAGAGTGGGTGAGAAAGATTCAATGAAGATGATAAAGATAGAAAAAAATAACCAATTATATTATGTGAAAAGGATGAAAATGCACAAGATCAAGTTTTCGTCAGATTAAGTTCAGAAGCAACGCACAAATTACACAGCTGAATAAAGATTGTCGCGTACAGTATAATAATTAAACAAAATATTTCACATTTTAATTAAAATGATAATTTTTAATATTTTAATTGGTGTTTTATAAGACACTTTTGAAAATATCTTTAGTTCTGATCGACGTTCTAAACCGTAAAGTTAGCACACTTTTGATCATATCTTATCAATTCTTTACAGTGTACCGGAAGAAAGACCGTATGAGCGACCGCCTCATTACTACGACCGTCTCGGTGAGAGAGAGCCTTATATGAGGCGGCCGGTTGGAATTGGTTACCATGACGATGAAAGTTACCAGGCCAGAGGCCGTTCACGAGATAGGTTTACACGTACAGCATCAGGAAGTATATATCAAGATGGAACAGACAGGTAATTTAATTTTCTTAAACTTGTTCATTGAAGTAACAAAACTAAATTACTTATATTGTACAGTTTCAGTATGCATTTGATTGGTTGAATTTCCTTTCCACGAACACAGTGACTTCAGCACTATATTTTGTTTTTGGGTGGGGGCATTAAGTAAAAATAGGTAATGGATTATTTTCATCCTCAGAAAGGAAAATGTATAGGTAATCTTGGGGATATTGTTAGATTCTATGTAAAAGTTTCCAGATTTGGTTCCTTATTATGAAGAGTAGTAATTTAGCTTATTCTTTAAAAAATAAGTGGATGGATAATCTGAAGATATATGTTTGCCTGTGGGAAAAAATATTCCCGTTTTACCCTTAAGTATGAAAAATAGTAAATAAGATAATCAATGGAAACGAAGATTTTCTAATAATCTAATGGGTACTTTTTTATTGGGATGTAAAATATTTAGATTTTGTCATTAAGTGTGAAGGGTATAATACAACATGTATTTGGAAAGGAAGATAAGTGTGAAAGGTAATGACCTAGTGTATTTCTGTAGAGGATGATAAGTGTTCAAAAGTAATGGCCTAGTTTATTCCTGGAGGGGATGATAAGTGTCCAAAAGTAATGGCCTAGTGTATTTCTGGAGGGGATGACAACTGTGTGAAAGTAATGGCCTAGTTTATTCCTGTAGAGGATGATAAGTGTGTAAAAGTAGATGTTTAATTTATCCTTAAAGAATAAGATGTTTCTGTTGCATACAATTCATATTTCATGCATCAGCTGAGAGATTGTTGGTTTATTTCACCATGAAAGGGAAGATATATTGTGGTCTGACACTTGAAACTGCTATGTAATACTAGAATTTTATGCTTAGAACCATGTATACACCTGGAAAAAAGTTAAGCACCCCCA